TTTTTTAATTGTAATGTCTGTTCTTTTACTGAACTAAATGATTTTTATTACTAAAAAAACTCAAAACGACGGTGGGGGTCAGTGCCACGGCAAGTGGCGTAACTGGTGTTGCGGCTTAACACCGGTATCACCGTCAACACCGTCTATCGCGGCAAGCCTACTTCCGGGTTTAAAATCTACATTGTGTTGATCTACATTGTGTTGGCAATGCACTCTAGTACATCGATGACGCGTCAGTGTCTATTAAATTATTCATGAGACTGCATGTTCTTATCCTATGAGAAGATGCTTCGCTTAATTATTCACAACAGCATGTGTTGATTTGCTATGACAGACGCTTCAGACTGCGAGACCGCGTACATTAACTGAGAAAAACGTTCAAGGATCAAAGGAGAGTGTTTGTTTTTGCTTTGTAATAAGAGTTCGGCACAAACGTGATTCATTCACTTAGTGAGTGTAACCGTTTTTACAGCTCCGTGACACAACCCGTCAAAAGGCTTATATAAACACCGCAGAATAAGCCTAAAGTTATCAGAGGTGCAACAGCACGTTCATATATATGTTTTCGATGCAGAGTGCAAATGGCTGTGCATTTATTTGTGTTTTTAACTCGATGGGAGCGAAATGAAACCCTGAACCCGAAGCTGTGTGTGTTGTCTGTCTCCCCTCTTCCCCCTCCTCCGCTCCGCAGTGCACCACTCCTACTTTTTTAGCCTTTTTTAAAACTGGTGAGAACTAACCAGTGCTGAAACAGGGGGTTTCATGACCCTTTAACATGCTTATAATGCCCTTTTTCTTGATTCTGTTGATTTATCAGAAGTCAGAAAGAGCTTTAATACCAAGTATGTTTACACACACAAGGAATTTGACTTGACGACAGGAGCTTCCAGTGCAGAAGAAGGTATGGACATAGTGCAGACATACATAGGAATTACACAGTAGAGGTGGAATATAACACTAAAAAACAAAAAAAACTGAAAATTAAATAAATAAATATACAGAAGTATGTGATCAAAATCTTTTATTTGGGAACTAGACTGTCTTGCATTACTGTGCATGCATGCGAACACACACACACACAACACATCTATCTAGAGACCTCGGAATAGGGCGATATTCTGTGATTCAACAATGAGGTCAACCTGCCAGCGGGCAGAGCTGAATCCTCCACAGGGACACCCAGTTGTTTGACTCAAGTGGGGAGCTTATTGTTTATCAAACCCTCTTCTGTTCTCTCACAGCTACAGTCGCTCAATGGGCTTTTGTTGTCAGAGATGCAAATGTTTTGGTGGGGTGACGTGTCTTTGGAATATTGTTGCCTGGATCTCTTTCATCCAGATGGCATGCACACAAACCAGGGGTGGCTATGAAGTCATGTTTGAAAACATGGAGAATTGTGGACAACTGTCTAGACGGCAACAAGCAATTTGTTGATATGTTTCCATCTCAGTTTCAGATAAATCAGACTTGTCTTTTTTAGAATTATGTTTGTTGAACAACTTAGTGTCTTTGATCATGGTTTGTTTGAGGGATTGGTGTGTCTCAAGTATTTTGTTTGCTGTTGGTGGTCAGTGAAAGCTAATAGGCCTCCCCTGTGTAAAGAAGCAGATAATCAGATTATTAAACCATAAATCACAGCGCCCAGCTGGGAATCAGAAAGTTCAGTGAACTCAATGATTAAGAGCACTTGAATTATCTCATATTTATTCAACTTTTCACTTTCCTTTTTTCATTCCCTCTACAATGACATTACAATAAGATGATACAACCGTCATTAGTCTTCCAAGACATGCCAAATGATTCACTTTAAGAGAAAGGACAAAAAATGCAAAGGACAAAGTGGTTTCAAATAGAGCTGCCTGGGAATCAAGAACTGGTTCTTGTTCAAAACAAAATAAGTCCTATAAAAAAAAATAAAAATAATAATAATAATAGAATAAATAATAGAATAAATAATAAAAATAACAACAACAGTAAATTTAATATATTTTATGAAGCTAAACAGAACGGTATTCTTTCTTTATTTGCTTATTTTATTTCTTTATTTGCTTTTTGCTTTATATATATATTCACATTATCTTATTTAACTTACATTAACCCTATTTACACTAACCCTAACAAGTTATTCACATTAACTTATTTACATATTTAAAAATTCCAGATTGTGATTTTCATTGTTTAAAATGATGCTGTTCCATCAGTGGAAGAATGCAAGAACCACCTTAAACCATGTTTAGCCATGGTCTTAATACTTTTGTTTAATTTTGTCTGTGCAAATTAATCCAGAAGCTTTCAAACACTAAATGCAATAAATGCAAACCAGTAATTATGGGAAACAGAGTTTTTATGTTGTTGATTTCAAGAGCTATTGGCAGTTTAAAAGTAGTTCTCATCATTTGACACCAGCCTCCTAAAGACAATAAAAGCAGTAAGAATGATCCAAATTAAGTGGAGCTATAATCTTTAAAGTCCTTATATTCATATACCCAGTTACATGCAAAAAGGAAGGAGTGTTCAAAAAGAAGGGTGAAAAATGCAAGCAAGTTGTCTGGGGAAAAGGAAAAACTACATTGTCAGCACAAGGCCTGGAAGGAGGCAGCTGCAGTGGAGTACAACAAAGAGTAAAGGTCTAGATTTCCTCATGATATAAGAGTCTGGCACACTACAGAGAATTCTGCACTGGATGGAGTTGAATTTAAGAAGAAATGCAACTCTTTACAGCTCTGGGCTCCCAGGATCCTCTCAGCTTATGGTTATGTAATCACAAAGTGAATGTGGATTTGGAAAGAAAGGGGATTTGTGCCTTGGACCACATTACTACCCGGAATCTGCATTGCAGCCTTTGTCTTATTTTTTAAACAAGGCCACTTTCATTCAAACGTCAAGGCCACTTTCATTCAAACGTCATGTTTTGCAGAACTCAAATAAAAAAAATAACATTGTTCTTTTACTAAATTACAGTTGCAGTTACTATCCAAATATAGCAGTATATACTCACAGGTTGAAGAGAGGAGTCTTTTGTGTGCTTTTCCAGGATCTTTTTTTAGAGCACTGATGTCCTATGGCAGTATTGATGCTAACATGTTAATAGAAGTCAGTAATAATAAGGACCTAGAATTTGGTGTGCAATTTGTGTGGTTTAATTCCTGCTTCATCTGTTTATTTTGCAAAGCCAATTTTCCATTATAATTAATCCTTTAAAACAAAGTGGGACATACATTTAATATGTGATATCATTGTGATGTTGCATAGGTCAAAATTCCAAATATCATGTAAAATTCCAATAATTTCCACTTGTAATATATTCCATCAGCTGACGGTTCAACTCAAGTTCTAAAATGAAAAGAGAATCTCCGATTCAGTAATACAATGTCAGCCTTGTAATAAAATGACATTTATTGTGTCTTTTCTTTTCTATCATAGGTCGAATTGCAGATGTTGAAGGCTGGACACTATACTTTAAGGATAAAAATGGCCATGTGTCCTGGATTCTTGGAAGAATTTTCATCCTGACCACTGTCCTGGATCTATACCGTCATAGGAAAAAGTGACTCATCTCTTGGCAAAGAAAGACTTTGGTGATTTTATTTTTCTCTGGACGGTATTTGAGAAGTCATCATGCCTATTCTGAAGCAGCTTGTGTCCTCGTCCTCCCAGTCGAAACGGCGTTCTCGTGCTGACCTGACTGCAGAGATGATCAGCGCACCTCTGGGAGACTTCCGTCACACTATGCACGTGGGTCGAGGAGGCGACGCGTTCGGGGACACCTCCTTTCTTAGCAGCCGCTCAGGGGAGCCACCAAAGGAGCCGGAGGTACAGCAGAGCTCACCTAAACAGAGCCTCCTTTCTCGTACTTTCCGAAGCAGCAAGCGCTCGCAGTCGGCCAATCGTGACAAGCCTGACATATCCAAACTGGCGCCCCCTGGTGGCTCACCGAGTTATGTAAAAAACGCAATCTCACTGCCATATTTGAATGACGATGACACAGGACGAGGTACTGGAATCCACGTTCCCAAGAGCGTGTCCTCAAGTCCTTTAAAGAAACTTCCAGAAGACCAAGTAAAGCCGCTTAATGGAGCCACGGCGTCCGCTGTATCAGACTTGGAGCTGGACGAGAGGAGTTTCGGAGAGCTGACTGACTTGCGTCCATCGGTTCCTTACACCGGAGGCATGAAACATGCCGAGTCCATCATGTCCTTCCACATTGATCTGGGTCCCTCCATGCTGGGTGACATCCTGAGTGTGATGGACAAGAAGGGCATTGACGATGACGATCTGGGATTTGAAGAGGGGAAGAGTAGCGAGGGACGCAGCTCGCCGCCCCAAAGCCCTCCCAACGAGGTGGAAGAAGAGGACCCTCTTCCTCCAATCCGGCCCCCACGCCAAAGGCCAGGCATCAACCCTTACACTCCAGAGCTCCAAACCAGGAACCATCAAAACCTGGACAGCTGTTCCCTCTCCAGTTCAGGGTCCACCGTGCTAGATGAAAAATCCCACAATCAGATGTATGAGGGGAACACGAACAACATCAAGTACAGCTCACCTCGAGTTCAAGACGACAGGGACTTCTCCTACATGGATGATGACGACGATGATGACGAGATTAGGGTGTAAAGTGAACCATAAGGTGCCAGAACAGTCTTTGCAAAGACTAAAAGAAATGGTGGAGGTGGGTTGTGGTCAATTAAAGCTCTTACACTGACTTGGAGGACTGATTTTATAATGGAGATGAAAGGGAAAACGTATGTTTTAGCCCTTGCTAAAGGCTTTTTCACTACATTTTCTAGATCAGGTATATAAACCCTCTGTTACTAGTGACTTTCACCAGAGCCACCACAGCTGTGAGAGGAATGTGCTTGCGTGTTTGCATATGCCATGGCGAGGGAATTACATTTCAAATGGTAATTACAGTCTCGTGAGTATCATTAATGAATTCCAGTGTTGACCACTTGGAATGCTGATACAGGAGGTTTGTTTGGAACCAAGCCCCACATTCTCGCATGATCGACGCAGTACTCTTGCTTATGCCTTTAAACTTAAAGAAAATACCAACGCCAACAGTCTTAAGTTTCCTACTGTATGTTTTACAGCTTTTGATTCCATCTTTAAGTTATATCCTACATTTTGCCTTGTATACAAAACCATAATGATGTAAATGGTGAGATGACTGGAATACCATAAACGTGTTTGGAGGTTCAACAGAACGCTTTATCTCTGGCTTATGTTACCTTTTTCCCATCGAAAGTTGTTTATGTTGTAGATCTGGACTTTGTCATGTGGTCCATGCATGTTTAAGAGGATTTCCTGTCAGGTATCATACAATTCTCAATCATGGAGATTTCAGATTGATGGGATGCAGAAACCGAAAGCAGTGGTGACATCGCATTACTTGTAGGCAGTAGAATCAGTCCAAGTGGAACCAATTGTCAATTTGTGTGTGTGTGTGTGAATGAGGATTGATGTCAAGAGGGCTGAGGAGTGTGTTATTTGATTATCATTGTAAAGGCTCCGAGATGAAGAGTGTAGCTGTCTTATTCAGCATCTAACGTAGTGCGTTGAACTTCAAACTGTGCTTATCAGCAGAAGTGGCTCTGGAGGGTTTTCATCTCTGAATGACTTTTATAGTTCTTTGTGTTTCTGTATTTAGGTTTGAAGAGAGATCAACACCCCATGATGAGACTGTAACTTGTATAGCCACTCTGTGAGTTAGTGCCATACCCTTTGTATCAGTTAAATGTAGACAAAATTGTACTTTATTAAAATTCTTTAACATGTATAAAATGAGCAAACTCAATCCACCAATTTTATGTTACAGATTTATGTAAAGCTTTAACAAATTTTCCTTAAAGGTGAAATGTGTAATTTCTGCACCATCAGCAGCACTAAAATGGAATCTAAAAAAAACACAAAACTGCAGAGGAGGGGGAGAAAATTAAAAAACTATCAGACATCTGATGTCACTGTGTGTGGGGGGGGGGGGGGGGGGGGGGGGGGGGTTCCCCTAGTTGGAATCTTTACATATTTTTCAATTCCATAACAACCAATCATGAGAGTTTGAAGGCGGGGCTACGCATTTGTTTGACCAGTGGCAGTCTGGTAATGCTTAGAAGGTTATTGTTGAAATTCTGTTTAGTGCCACAGAAATTACACACTTTACATGTAGGTCTCTATTATGAGACTTTCACAAACTATGCTAACAGCAAATTTGCCCAAATACTGGCAATATACTTAACACTATTATAGGCTGTGGTTTACCACTGAAAACATAAAATAATTACCATCTATTAAAGCAAGTATTAACTGTTCATTTTGCACTTTGGGAATTGAGTTTTTTTTTTTTCCTATGACACAAAGTTATGTTTTGGGGAGATAATTTAAAAGCATTCCACTCTTGATATATGTACATCATGTTCAGTTATTCATTAGTCTTTTGATTGATGCTATTGTTTAGTCAACAGTGTTGGCCCTGTAATCTGACATTTATATAAGCACACTGCACTCAAGAGAGCATTTTGTAGAATTAGTTATTTTTGTAAACACTTGGTTTCAGTGGTACCTAATTGTTTGTACAGCTCTCTCTGTGGCCTTTTACCTTCACTTTGTGAGCTCAGTTAGGCTTTACATCAGCTTTAACACTCCCAAGACTACAGCTACATTATTTCCTTGGTCACCTGTCAGTGTTTTTTGTTGGTTTGTGAAATCAGCATGTTTGTACAGAGGAACAAGTAAGGTACGGTTTGTAAGAAAGATGTTTGTAATGCTGTCTCCATGTTTCCTAGAGTGTTTTTCAGTGTGGGTATATAGAATGGTTTGGAAAGGGCTTTATTAATGGGGTACAAGGGGCTTGGGTTGCCTAATATCTGGTCAAAATGCTGCATTGTGCTGTTTGGTCTGCAAGCACAAATGGAGGATAATCACATGTGCCAATGTCTTCTCTTCCTCTCTTTTGTTGCCCAGTTTTTGTTCATTTTATGAGTTAAAGAAGTGGTTGTGGAGATATCACACTGCATGCAAAGCTTTCGAAGAAGACCAGATGTCCGGTACTGGATTTGTGAGACTGAAAGTGAGCTGGAATGCTGGACTGTAACAGGTTTTTAGAGCAGCAGGGCTCCCTCTACAGTTTCGGAGTAGTTTTCTTTCAGGACATTAATACTTTTACTTGTGACTATGCTTACAGAGACAAAACTCTACCGTCCATATACAATAGCATAGTATAATTTCTTTGCTTGATTATGCACACAGGTTTATAATAATTTATATTACCACATCTTCCTACAGGTGCTGCAGAAAATGGTTGACAAAACACTAAAATATAGTATAAAACCATTTCCAAGTATTTGCTGTTTATCTTTATTCACTTAATGTCTGTATCATTCTGTACTGAAATGATATAAATAATGACCTGCCTTACTTTCCCTTGCAAAATGACAGTTATATTTTTCAATAAAAGAAAAAGCTGCAAACTTCACCAGAGGGCCGTAATTTGTACTTATGTTCATGCAAATCATAATTTAAGAGTAAAACAAAATACCTGAGCTAGTTTGGTCATGTTGTAGACAGTTCCCCAGTGTTGTAGATCCACATGCGTAATAACCATCATCAGGCTAAAAACTACTGTATCACAGCTATTCCAGTGTGTTGAATTGACCTTTGCACTATTTATGCTGATGCAACAGATCTCTGCAAACAGGATTTTTATGGGAAATGCATAGGGGGAGTGGATTCAAGGTGAACATGAATAAGGTAAGAACACCATGATGTGACTTTATGCATGGATTGACTGAAAAAAAAAACATTTTTATATTATATTACATTATATTATATTGTGTTTGTGTTATATGCTTCAATCTAGGCATATAGCATAAATGTGTTCCTACTGCCATCTTGTGGTCAATCCTCATTGAACAATTACAGTTTAAGGTAATTGACAAGCAATAGCTAATATTTGGTGAGGCAATCTCCATCGTATTCTGCGTTAAAAAAGCAGGTTTTTCTTTTCAATGCAAAGTTTATTTACAAGAAATTGTGTAAAAATCACACAATTGTTTGTGAGTTCACCTACTGAAAAAGTGCAGACAGAGCCCGATGAATAATATTCGTATTGTGCATATTGTCACTGATTGATTATTGACTATTGAAACTACAAAGTAAATAGTTCCTAATCAATATAGATAAATATATAACCTTAATTAACCACTATACCCCTTAAAATATTAAATGATGTGCTGGTAGCATGATCATAATAACTAATAATAATAATAGCTAATAGGTAATGTTTTGTGACTGTTAATCTTTCACAACAAACAGGCTATGATAATTTTCCCCTCTGTTAAATAATGAGTTAAGAGTGAAGGAAACAGTTGGCATTTAGAAACAGCATCATATTTAGATGTTCTGGATCCAAGCTGCAAGTCTGGCTTTCTCCACGTCAAAGGCAATGTCAGCCGGGACCGCAGTAGACACAACAGCCAGGTATTTGCGTGCAACCTCACTCAGGTACCAGTCTTCATCTTTCGGGAATTTACAGAATGCAAGAGGATCCCATCCAATCTGCAACATTTTCTTTTCCAAGTATCTCTTCAGAGCCATATCAAAACTGTCTGGCTGTCGGAAACTTCTCCCTTGATTCTCTTCATTCAGGTGTTCCATTTCAGCAATGATCCTTTTCCTAATGCGTGTGAAAGTCCCCTTCTCAGAGAGAGTGATGTCTCTGTATCTCAGGTCAAGGGTGGTGCTCAATGTCAGCCAGTCGTTTTCCTTGGCTCTACTGAAGTGATGATTCAAACAATGTGCTAATTCCTTAGCAAACGATTTTCCGCTCTGTTGCAACTCCTTTAGCTTCTTCTTTATGGCTTCCACCTGTGGTATAATGTATAATGACAGTGAGTGGTATCGTTTTGCTGGTGATATGACATCCTGGAATGCCTTGAGGGGTGATATTGTCTTTATGTTTTTATTGTCATGCTTGCTTAACAATAAGTCAACGTCAAATTCAATTAGCACTTGGCGTATAGCCTCATGCTGCTCTGAGATTCTTTCTAGCATATTTAGCTTAGAAAGCCATTTATCACCCTTAGTCTCAGCCAGGTTATGTTGCGGTAACCACAGCTTTTTTGTGCCCTCTTGAGGTGACCTTGTGCTTCAACATTAGAAAAATACTCTGATATTTTACAACATCTTTGCACCAGCTCTTTCCAGTCAGAACATGCCTCGAGCATCGCCTTGAAGACCACATCCAGTGTGTTGGCGAAGCAGGGTATGAGATCCCATCCTGCTTTTTTGATGTCTCTCTTGATCCCATCTTCATTCGTTACTACCACTTTAATCTTGCTTCCAATTCATCATTTATCTGCTATTTTCAGAAGCTGTCCAATAAAATTACTGGGTTTATATTCTTCGGGTAGAGGTGTGGTTTCCAAAACACATGACTGCTGGGTCCATGTGTTATCGATCAGGTGACAGGTAGCTGTCATATAGGTTTTATTTGCTGTGGTGTTCCACACTACAGAAGACAATGCAACAGTCTACAGACCTTTTTGCACAGTTTGTGTTGCTTTGAAAAACAATTGTTGAAGCTTTAAAAGTATATCAGCAGATGTTGGTAGATATTGAAACCTTTCATTCATAGAATTCAAGCTCTTCAACTTTGGTATGTGGATGTAAATCTGAAATAATCATATCCAGTGAGGGGTCCCACTGATCACCTGTAGAAGGAAAACAGCAACTAATTTTACACATTACATGTGTATTTATATGCATGTGCGTGTGTTTTATATTTTGCTCCCATTTAATGTAGGAAATGTAAAGCATTAAAAAATTGTCTAGATCAAGATTTTTGATTAAAATATATATACATGTGTAAGAAAAAAGTGTCCATAATATATATATATCTCCATGGCATTCATGTAACAGATATTTACATTTTGACAGTATTTGAAACATTTACAGTGCTGAGCATTGTTTACAGAAAGTATGCGTACGTACATAATGCGTTTTCTTCATTGGTTGCTGTTCAAAAACAGGATCATATTGACATTTTCTGGCTCCAGACAGTTTCTCCTGTCAACAAGCCGTGATTCTTGCAGCTGGTGCACACGCTCCACTGGAATGGCAGTGGAGACCACTGTGAGGTACTTGCGGGCCACTGTTGCCAGTTTTTTAAACTCTTCATTGGTCTTCCAGAATTCAAGTGCATTCACTGAAATGCTTGTTGTTTTCCAGTACTTTTGAAAGACTGACTCTTCGCTTTCAGTGTCATGACTGCAGTGCACTGCAGTGTGTGGATCTCCCCTGATCTGTTTCCTGATTTCTGCTGTGATATCTTCAATGCCAGAGTCCTGCAGAACGCTGGTTTTGTATTGCGGGTCCAGTGCTGTGCTAACTCTAAACCAAATGTTTTGTTTGATGTTGCCGATATGATAGTCACATATTTCTGACAGTTTCTTTGCTATTCCATTCTCCACCACCGATTGGTTTCTCAGCCTCTTCTGCAGCTTTTGCACAAGCGGTATGATGTTTGAGATGGGGCTGAACCCTCGACTTAAGACTTCCTCTGTGACGTCCTTCATAATGTCCAGCACTGCCACGATGTTTTCAATTATTTTTCTTTCATTCTCATTCAGGCAAAGATCATCCACTCGTCTGTTGACAAAAACCTTAAAAATGGCTTTCCACTGCTCTGAGATGTTCTTCAGCATATGAAGAGTAGGAAGCCACTTTAGACCACAGGATTGAGTCAGTTCACTTCGCTGGAGATTGAGAGAAGCACAATACTCCTGGAGATTTTGTGAGGCTTTGTAGTTTTGGTGGAAAAATGCAACTATTTGCTGACATTTCCTGAGTAGAGATTCGCAGTCGGTTCTCAGTATGGTTTCTCTGAAAACTTTATCCAGGGTATAAGCAAAACAAGGTATATAAGTCCATCTGCATCCATTGGTATGGGCCTTCTTTATGCCATCAACATTTGTGACCACGATCTGGGTCTTTTCTGTGACGTTCCACTCGTTCGAAATTCTCAAAAGGTGCTCTGCTGCGTTCTCTGCTGTGTGCTTGTTGAGTAAATGAGCTGTATCTAGCACATACGATTTCAGCTTCCAGTTTTCGCTGATTAGGTGACAGGATACTGTCAGGTAAAACACCTTCTCACTGGAGCTCCACAACTCAGCTGAGAGCGCGAGGTTACTTGCATTATTGACTGCATTCTGTACTTCCACCCTCTCGTGCCCGTAAAGGCTCTGTAGCTCATTTCGGAGCCACGAGGCACTTAACTGAAGATCTAAAGAGGATTGCAGAGTCCTTGTGAGATGATGTCTTGTCAAAGCACTTAAGGGCTGCAGATCCTTTATAATTATATTCAAAAGTGTCTTGACATTCGAGCCATGACCTAATTAAAATCAAATGCACTGAATGAGATATAAAGTAGTCATACTGAAATATATTTTCTCATAGTGATTTCATAAAAGTCCATTACACTTCACCTCTGTTTGTTGGTAATTCTTGCTGATTATAAGGCCGGTTCTGTTGAGCATGTAAAGTAGGCCTACCATTGGACCACTTTCTCTCTGTAATGAACACACACAAATTTCTGTATTACCATATGAGAAATTTGAATAAGCAAGTCTTACTCAAATTGAGTCTTACTTGTTTGCATTTATCATTAGGTCTATACATATTTATAATATTGTAATGCTGTGTATTATTTAATACTGTTAAAACGATTTCATTTATATTTATTTATTTTAATTTTTATTGTTTATTTTAGGCTATACTGACTGACTGAGTCAAGACATGACTAAATTCAGGATGGTCTGTTCCAAATAACTGTACAAACAAAAGTTAAGTGGCCTAGGAAGGTTTTTGCACAAGTTCTATGGAAAATGCAACTGCGCAGCTGAAACTATTAATTAAAAAGAGCAACATTTATTATGCCGTTTCTCAATGTGTAGACTAGTCGTTTCTTCAAGCTGTCAAACCAAAAACAACAAATGCAACATTGTTAATGAAAATTGCCTTTCAATTACCTTGGTAACGATTTTGCTTTTAGGTTGAACATAACGGCGCTAAACAATTTTGAGAAGGTCGGTGGACGGTGTCCCTCAGCGGACATTCTTGAGGCATTCAATTTCAAACAAATTTAGTTACTGGATCTTACCACTCTCCAGCCAGCTCTGACGTCCGTACACACGTCTATATGGAAGCAGCATGTCTCTCGGAAAATCTCGATGTCTTCTTCCTCTGTGGAGATTGTTTGCTAAAGGCGACAACAAAATATAGCCTACACAGCACTTTTGTGATAGCCTGCTATCTTTATATGTTTCACAAAAGGGCAAGCGAAAATGAACCCTTCTCATTCTGCCAATGTGCCATTTTGATTCTTAAAACGTAGCCTACATTTAAATATTTTGAAAGTATTACATTTACGGTAGACCACACATCATTTGCTTTGGAGAAAGCCATAAAATAATAACAAAACAAAATAAATAGGCCTACTTACCAAACTGTGTTCTTTTTTTGTTCATCTCTCTGGATAATTTGGGAGCAATATGGAACTCACGGGATGTGTGTTGGAGGGACTTTCAGTTTCATTTTTGTCCACAAACATTTCAAAGTTCATTTGAATGTTCAGTTGTGTAACCCGTCACCTGACTGAGAAGGGTGTGTCTTTGTGGTAAACAAATGATGTAGATCTTTGATCAGGTTTTGACGGCTTTACAATGATTTACAACGACACACATTTAGCGATTCGAAACCAGTTTTATTAGAGGTTGTCCGACATATCCACTGGCATACGGGAGACCTGCGCAGTGAAGGGGGGTTTATACAATTCTGGACAGATTAAGCTAAATGAGCAGGTGTTTTAATCTTTCAGAGGGGGAAACACACACACACACACACACACACACACACACACACAAGCAGAGGTGTAAACAGTAGGCCTACCTGAAAACCAGCTACTTGGGTAAAAGTACAGCTAAGCCTACCTTATAGCAAAAATTACTCCATTACAAGTCACTAATTACAAAACGACTTAAGAGTACAAAAGTCTTAAATTATCTGATTTTAACAGTACTTAAGTAATTGCTTTTAAGTATTTAGCTACTGAGGCTCAAAGATGCATTAGTGTTCAACACCTAAGAGATGTGCCAGTGAAGAAAAAAAATCCCCGTTGATTTGTAAGGAGAGAAATCACGTTTATTTTCAATAACTCAAAAAGGGCATAAGTAAACCAGTATCCTTCAAAAAGTTCTCTTCAATATGACGGATAAATAAAATAATGTCAAGTAAAATTAAAGTCAAAGGCATCTTGCACTAGACGTGCTGGTTTCGGCCTCATTGCTGGCTGCAGTCATGTCTTCATCTCTTATATAAAACAGCGATTCACATCCACCTGCTAATGCACTCGCATTCGCATAAAGAAGCCTTGTTGACAAGTTTCGGTGAGTGAAGGGCAAAATGCACAAGATATAGTACATTTAATGCCTGTAGATGGCAATATTGCTTCTTTTGTAGCAGAAATAAAATGCTGCAGAAAAGGTTAGGCCCCATGCAAAATCCTAATGTGTAATTGCATGGCTCATTGTAGCTATTGGGGTAATAAAGAGTGCAGATACTTAGGCTATTCAAAAAATGTAGTGAAGTAGAGAGTAAAAGTTGATATCTTTGATACTCAGTAAAACTACAACGTAGCCAAAAAGATACTCAAATACAGTAACTAATTACATTTACTCAAATACTTTAGACCACTGTACATAAGTGCCTGTACACGGACGTTTCTCTGTCACATAATTTACTTAACGGCCAGCAGAGGCCAATGAGCCAATGATATTTTTTATTTTTAAGTTGTCAACATCATTATAGACAGCGTATGGCTGCTGCAGGACAGAGCAGTGCAACTGCTAAATATATCACAATGAGATGAGTGTCCTGTGGTTTTCGCAAATGAGAAAGAGAGACATTAAACAGGCTATCTTAAGAATGGAATATCATCTTACTATCTGTATACTGCCTACTGTTTTGTAGTAATTGAAACAGTTAGCATTTCATCTTACTATCTGTATACTGCCTACTGTTTTGTAGTAATTGAAACAGTTAGCATTATTCCACAAAAAATGTTAAAAAAAAAAAAAAAAAGTACAGTACGGCGACCAGAAATAGATCATAATCATCATGATCTGAAGCATCTTCAGACATGAAGTCATGACTTTTTGGTGAGCACATGAGCCATTAACTGTAAAAAACATTTATTATTTTTACATTCCCGTCAGCTCACTTAAGCAGGGAGTGTTCTCTGCTGTAGCTATTTTTTTTAATAGAAGGTCTGGCCCTATTTGTTGTTTAAATATATTGAATCTTTAAAATGAACATTGCATAAACCAAACATAATTAGATTAAAGAGATGCTGTAAATCTGTGATGTAAACTAGTTTTAATAATTTTAGATCATGAAAACAATGATTTGAGAGAGAAAAAAATAAAGAGCTAAATGTAAAAATTAAAGTGCATCATGTGTGACTCTACTTCATTAAACATTCTAATTTCAAGTCTTAAAAGTTGTTTATTTCCACTTTCAGTGTAGTTTCAGAATTTTGGGTCCCACTAATATCAATTATGGATTTTGATACTTTATCAAAACTTTATTATTTAAATACTTTATTCTATACTTCTCCAGTGTTTTATAGTAGAAAGGTTTGATTGACATTTTTTTGTGAATATAAGCAGACATTACTCTGGGCGTCCAGAAGCCTCTCGATCTGTACACATCCTGAATGTTGCTTTGAGAGAAAAGCTTATTTTTTCAACATTTCTCTTTTTGTTTCCTGCTACCCTGAGATGTGTGCACCACCCCTTGACACGTTCTGGCCCTGAACCCTGCTGGGTGGAGCGGCCGTGAACTTCCCGTGGAAACCCACGAAGGTTCTTCGAAACAACAGTTCTTTCTTGGGATCGCAATGCTGCCAGTATATGAGTGGATAAAGTAAACAGAGCTGTTGATGCCGTTTGTAGCCTCGTACGCAGGAAATGGAGATGAAAATGGATACAACAACACTTAATCACCAGCATTACTCTTACCTCACTAGATTTGTATTTATCAGATCAGGACTAGAGTTACTTATAATATTAGACTGAAGACTGTAGTTCACCTACCACAACCTTCAGATTGGACATTGTCCATGTTGTTGGCAGTTGATATAAATAAAAAGTTAAGCTGATGCAATGTTAAAATCCTTTCTGCTTTACCAGGTTAATGTCAAGAAATGCCACCAAAATGTGTAAACACAGTGGTCTGTGGCTTTTTTGGCATTGCTTTATTTGTTTAAGCAGCCACTGAGAATTTGAGCAGAATTTTCGTGCATTTATTGAGGGTAATCAAGACCCATGTGGCTTTAAAACCCTGTGCATCGCCACTGTACCATTAAGTTACAATGGGACCAGTAGTGAGCTTGAATTGATGCCAAGAACTACCCTGCAGTTCTATATGCTGGGAAACATCCCGCTCTTACTTTCTCAACAATATTTTCTTTCCTTTATGCACCCTTGATCTCCTGTACAGGCTGATAGGTTTACATTCATGTATTTGGCAGTTGTTTTTATCCAAAGCAGTGGACGTTGCATTCAAAGTATACATTTTATAATTTCATGCATTCCCTGGAAATCAAACCCATGGCTGTGGCATTGCTAGCGTCATGCTCTATTGTTTGAACCACCGGAATGCATCAGGGTGTCACTCAAAATATGAGGAAGGCTTTTGTCACTTGGCATGTACTGACACACCTTCATGAATGCTTTTCATATACCTGAGCTGAGCGTTCTTTTTGTAAATAGTACATGCAAGGCAGAAGTGTAATCTATTTTTATTTCATTTTGCTTTGCTTTGCTTTTTTTGTTTGTTTGTTTTTGTTTTTGTTGTTTTGTTTTTTGATTTGCTTTGCCTCGCTTTGTTTTATTTTATTTAATTATTAGTATTAGTAACTTATTTTTTTAATTTTTGTTTTGTTTTCCTTCGCTTTTCTTTTGTCTCTCATGACCCATGTGACCTGTTTTATCCATTTACCCAGCTTCGGCTGGGCGACAGCTGGGCCTCTGCAGGGCCTGATTTAACCCTTAACATTTGCACTGTAAACCTGACCCACAGCAGGAGGAGACACTGGCAGGCTGATGTGCCACTCACCCGATCTTCAAGCAAACGTTAGGCTCACCTTCAGGGTTCCATTGCAGATTTTGGCCTGCTGGTTGTTGGGGTGGTTGTCATGGCAACAGGTGTGGTTTATAGGCGGAGCCTAACATTTGGTGAGTAGTCATGTGTTTATTTTTTTTTACAGATTAGAGTGACCTGCTGTTAAACCTGTTAGCCCCTCCCATCAATTTATTAAACCTGTATGATTTCTTCTGTGCAGCGTAAAAGAAGATATTCTGAGAAATTCTGACAACTGTGGGTTTGTGTATCTGTTTAGCATCTTGATTCATCTTTAAGCTTCATTTGTTTCAGGAGCGATACGACTTTCATCCATTTTATATAACCTGATCTTACAGTGATGTGATGTCCAGGCTTGCAGGACAGTGGTCAGATAAAATTGTTTTGCAGACGAGTAGGCTTATATTTCTTTAGCACTATAAATATACACAAACACACACACCACAGTCCACTAACACTGATTCTCAGAACTTTCACAAACATAATATACTGTAGATATCAACCATGCTGCTCACCATACTCTCCCAGGAATGAGATGGGGAGTTTGCAGTGTGAATTTAGGCCTTGTCTAGTGGGTGTATTTATAAGCGGTGAAACCCGCCTAGTCCTGCGTGCCGTGGATGCCATGGGTGTTACCAAAGCAGCCACCAAAGGCCACATACATTCCCAAGGCCTCTGGCATTAAAGAAACAGGACAACCATCCATGTCTTGTTTATTTCTACTGCTTAGATGCTAATTTAGTGTACATGTGGATTTTTTTTTCTGCTCTACAGTACATTTTCAGCCTTTAGACTGTGCTGTAATTTAAGGAACTATTTCTATAAAAGGTTTTCAAGGTCTAATATAAAAACAGAGATATGCTCTGGCATTAATTTTAACAAGATTATTTACAAAATAGCAAGAAAAGGAACAGGAGGAAACCAAACATGATAGAAAGAGCTTATCAATATTCAGACAAAAATATGTGTATAGATGCAAATTTATAAAATATATTTAATCCTGTAATATTAAAATATGTAGAAAACGGGGAATATTTTTGAATAAATATTACTATTTAATAAATATTTAATTTTAGAAGTTTAGTTTCCAAGGATATTGGGGGAAAAAATGGCAACATCCACTCAAACAAAAGTAGTGAAATTATTTACAATGAATTAATGTTTATGTGATTGTGTTAAAACTAATTTTACTTTCATCTTTACAGTTTATCTTTCAAATTTCTTATTCAGTATTTTAAGACGTGATGGAAACTTGATGTATTGTAGGAATGACCCATATAAGATATTTTGAAGGTGGCTAAGCATAAATGTGGTATAAATTTGGTTTCAAACTAAATTCTAAAGGCTTCTTTTTCTTCTTTGTCAT